TGCCGTGCCGACAGGACGGTCGGGGCGGAGGGGTGTGCCGTGCCGAAATAAAGGTGTCGGGCGGAGGGGCGCGCTGGCTGGTGGGTGAGGTGGGCGGAGGCGGTGTGCCGTGCCGAAATGAAAGGGGTCGGGGCGGAGGGGTGTGCCGTGCCGAAATAACAGGGGTCGGGTCGGAGGGGCGCCCTGGCTGGTTGGGGGGGGGGCGTAGAGGGTGTGCCGTGCCGAAAAAAGGGATCGGGGCGGAGGGGTGTGCCGTGCCGCAATAAAAAGGGGTCGGGGCGGAGGGGCGCGCTGGCTGGTGGGTGGGGGGGAGGCGGAGGGGTGTGCTGTGCCGAAATAAAGGGGTCGGGCGGAGGGGTGTGCCGTGCCGAAATAAAAGGGGTCTGGTCGGAGGGGCGCGCTGGCTGGTGGGCGGGGGGGTGCGGGGGGGCGGAGGGGGTGTGCCGTGCCGAAATAACGGGGTCGGGGCGGAGGGGTGTGCCGTGCCGAATAAAGGGGTCGGGGCGGAGGGGCGAACTGGCTGGCGGGTGGGGTGGGGTGGGGGGGGGCGTAGGGGGTGTGCCGTGCCGAAATAAAAGGGGTCGGGGCGGAGGGGTGTGCCGTGCCAGAATGAAGGTGTCGGGGCAGAGAGGGGCGCGCTGGCTGGTGGGCGGGTGGAGGCTGAGGGGGTGTGCCGTGCCGAAATGAGGGGGTCGGGGCGGAGGGGTGTGCCGTGCCGAAATAAAGGGGTCGGGGCGGAGGGACGCACTGGCTCGTGGGTGGTGAGGGGGGTGGAGGGGGCGCAGGGGGTGTGCCTTGCCGAAATAAAGGGGTCGGGGCGGAGGGGTGGCCGTCCGAAAAGGGGGTCGGGGCGGAGGGGCGCGCTGGCTGGTGGGTGGGGGGAGGCGGAGGGGGTGTGCCGTGCCGAAATAAAGGGGTCGGGGCGGAGGGGTGTGCCGTGCCGAAATAAAGGAGTCGTGACGGAGGGGCGCACTGGCTGGTGGGTGCTGGTGGGGGTCGGGGCGGAGGGATGTGCCTTGCCGGAATAAAGGGGTCGGGGCGGAGGGGCGCACTGGCTGGTCGGTGCTGGTGGGTGGGTGGATGCGGGGGGGGGATGGAGGGTCGCGCTGGCTGGTGGAATGTGTAGGTGATGAGGGGCGTGCCGTGCCGAAATAAAATAGTCGGAGCTCTAGACACCCTGTGCAAGCGGATTAAGGGATCACCGCTCCCTCCAGGAAACTCATCCCCCTGGACCCCCCACAGCATCCTAGGATTCCGAAGGACGCCCCCAAAAAAACCCAAATCTAGTCGATCCTCGGTCTCCCCTCCTCTCCTCCTCCTCGATCTTCGGTTCCGAGGAGGAGGTGCCGAGTCGCCACCTCCTCCTAGAATCGAGGAACGAGGTGAGTCACCCCTAAGGGATCACCGCTAGTGCAAGCGCAGCGGACAGCCTAGCAGCCCCCCTGGTCCGGGGCACAGGGCTTCGGGAAGATACGGGCACCCCTGGAACGCTTTTGGCGAGGCACGGCTGCTGGAGAAGCAAAAGGCCACCCCCTCCTCAGCAAGGAGCTCCTCCTGCCCCCGCTCCCATCTGGTGAAATGATGGGGGGGGTAGCTTGAAGCTGGGGCCCCCCTTTTGCTCTTCGCGTCTCCCGCAGCGCGCTCTTTCGCAGGTAGACTTCCGACAGTCCTGGGGACCGTGACAGGGCCTCTGGACGCCGAGACCAGCGAAACACCTCCTCAGATCCTGTGTGGATATCGGTGCCAGGTAAGGTGACGTGTCGCCGCCATCTGTAGATCTGGAGCCCCTGTGCCTGCAAGCGGCGATGACAAGCCTGACGTCACGGGCTATCGCGGGGCAGCCCGATGAGTGCGCGGAGCGGCGGCTACCGGACCTGCTGCTGGATGTCTTTGTTCGCCGAATTGTCGTGCGAGCCGATCTGGATGTGCACCGGGTCCCGCAGGTAGTCTGCGGCCAGCTTCCTGACCTCCTGGTGTAATCGAAACAGAGCCACGAGGACATAGGTCAAGAGCCGAGGCTCGAGTATCGATGTTCGACGATCTAGGCTTTGCCTCAGTCTCGGCCTTCAGGCCCGTTTCGGGCCCTGGGGCCGTCAGAAAGCTGCCTCTGGGATGCAAATCTGGCCAGGATGGCTCCCGAGAGGGGCCCCGGGACAAATTTTGAGCGGTTGCCTGCCGCCCTTGCCACCTGCGAAGACCTGTTCGCCGAGGACCCAAGGTCCCAACGGAGTTAGCCCGAACGAAAAGCGTTCCAGGGTGGAGGGCCCAACGCAAAGGACACGAGAGCACTCTGTCGGAAGCTGGGAGAGGCCATTACCCTCGTGCCAGCTATAGCTTGAAGGGCAAAGTCCGTTTTCGGACTGGGTTTCGGCCCCCCCCGAAGAAATCCGGAAATCGAGGAGGAAACCGTCGATTCTTCAAGCAATACTGCGCTTGAAGCATCCGCCACCGCGCAACTAGGCACGAAGTGCAGTGTCCTCAGGTCCCTTCGACTTCCCTGTATTGAATGTGTCAAATTCAATTTGAGGGGCCCGGGCCTCCAAGTTCAGGGCATTGCTGCCGCGTGACTTTTTCATAAGCCTCGGAAGCGTGGTTGGGATTCCACACTTTCAGCACGGCCCAAGATGTTTCCAGGTCCAATCCTGGAGTCCTCAAAGGCATCTGTTGAGCCGTCTGAGAAGCCCTGAGTGCAAGCCAAAGGTGGCAAATGATTGAACGCACTGAATATGTGCCTGATGCTAGATTTCTTCCATCTTGAGACCGCCTAAGACGACACAAGAGGCCCCAAATATCGCCCCGATACGGCCCTGGAGGCCCGAAACACTGCTCAAGGGGCCCCCAATACAGACGCAAGTCGAGCCCACCCGAACTGAAAGTTCGAGCCCTTCTCTCCAAGATGGCGCGCGAGCAGGCCCCAGAGAGCCCCCCTCCCCCCCCAGAGGCCCCCAAGAGGCCCCCGAGAAACCCCAAGATACCTCCAAAAGGTCCCCAAGACTCTTCAAAGAGCCTCCAATCGCCCTTCCAAGAAACACCAAGGCATGGTGGCAGGATGGGCCGAAGACCAATGGTGGGCACCATAAACCTACCACAACCAACGGAGATCCACCAAACGTCCTCCACCATTCAGGCATTTCTTACAGTCAGTGAACTTTTCAGCTTGATACCTCAACGTCTCTCCAATCTGAGCCGTGATCGGGACTTGTATCCCCTGGCGGCCGTCCAGTGCCCTCCCTACATTGACTTCAATGGATTCATGGCGCTTGATAGGGGGAGAGCGGGAGGTATCAATTGTCCCACTGTGTTTTTGCCGCATTTTCAGGCTTCTCCAGGTGGTTTGCATCTGCTCCGTAGGTCCCTGCGGGCGCAACCGAGCGGCCTATTCGCCATGACGGGAGGCTTCCACGAGCAACGTCTCGGCAAGGGAGATCTTCGTGATGATCGTTCCAGGGGTCCACGGGATCAGATGAGCAGAAGCCGGAGCCACCATCGGGCACGGCCGCGGGACACGGGCACGGGCCACCATGGGGCCCGTGACATGGAGCGGACCCCTGCCCACCATAATCAAGGGCGGCGGCCGTTCCAGGAGCCACCACAGGGCTCCGTCTGGCCCACGGTGCCCGCTATGCGGCACACGCAGTCACTTTGCTCTTGACTGCTTGTCGGCGGCTAGTCCTGCGGCCACGCCGAATTCCCTCACGGCGTTGGCGACGAGAGTGCCACTAAGACTACCGTCTCCTGCTCGGTGTTCGAGGGCGTTGGGTGCTTGGGCGAAAACAGATGCCGAACAACGTCCTGGAGTCTTACTTTGTGTGTACCGGCCTATCCGTGCTTCCAGGTTTGACGCTAACCCTGGCATTGCACAACGGACGATACGTTAACCGTACCCTCTTCGACCGCGCCTGCGCATCAAACAAATTATTTGTACTTCGTGTGTGCCAGCCGATCCGTGCTTCCAGGCCCGGCGCTCACCCTGGCATTGCACACCAGGGGATTTGTTCACCATACTCTCTTCGACCGCGCCGGTGCACCAGAGGATTTATTGATCGCAACAGGCGGCTACTGGTTCTCAGTGCTGTTGGGTGTCGTGGCCTCGTTGCGTCACCGCGAGGGTGCTGCCTGAACCAGCCCCTTTCACCGATTCCGCCCCTGGGTTTGGCTTCCACCCTTTTCTCACCTCATTCCTCATCTTCGATGGGTTTTCTTAGGGTTTTTGGCCCACCCTGGGACGGGATGGGTGGGAGGGAATCCTTACCGCTCCGAGCAAAAATCCCCGCCACCCCTGGCGTAGCACGTGCGCCACCAGGGGAAGCGTCCCGTCCACCCACCTCCCCACCATAGGGGGGAGTGCGACGTCCCTGTGGACGGAACGGGGAAGGCACTGAAGAATACCACAGGTCCTTCAAAAACCAATGGTGGGCACCATAAGCCTACCACAACCAAAAGAGGTACACCAAATGTCGTTCATGTCTTTTCAACAGTCATTGAACTGTTCAACTTGATACCTCAACCTCTCTCCAGGGGTGCTTGGCGTGCCGTTGTTTGGCTGTTTTTTGCTGTGCTGCTTCGGCCCTTCCGAGAGGTTCCCATTGCCCTTCGGCCCGCTCCCCCCAGTGCTTTGTGCCTCCAAGTCGGCCAAGATTCTGGTTTCAAGACGGCACAAGATAGCCTCCAAGACGCTGCCCAGACGACCAAGATAGCCCTCAAATGGCACAAGATGGCCACAAGAGGGTCGGTCCAAGACGCTCCCTTGGGTCTCTTGGTCCGTCTTGGGGGTCATCGGGGTCGGCCCACGAGCCGGCAGTCACTGAAAAGCAGTCCTTTTCTCATTGGGTTTTGGATGATTTCGTCTTCGGATCCAGAAAAGCTCAAGGCAGCCCAAGGGGTCCCCTAGACCAGCCCATGGCGGCCTAAGTGAGAACCAGGAAGACCTCCATACGGCCCCAAGTCGGCTCCAGATAGCCCCAAGATGGCCCCAGAGACCGCCAACAGGGCTCCACGACGGCCCAGAGACGCCCCTGGGACGGCCTCCGGAGGCCGACGGCCCAAGACCGCCCTCAGACGGCCCAGGAGAGCCCAAGCGGCCCGAAACGAGCCCCAGCACAGCCCCAAGACGGGCCCAGAGGGCCCACCACCAGTGTTCGTCTAGTGGTAGCTCCACCCCACCAGCTGCGGGGACACGCAGCCCAATAAGGCGGATGCACGTTCCAGCTCGATATGTTCTGGCATGATCGTTTCTCCCGCAAGTATACTTTAGCATAAAGGGCTCTCACCTGGTCATAAGAATTGCGTTATGCGAGACCTCTGCCGGCTTTGCCGATGTTGTTGCTGTTCATGTAACTTAGTCGCTGGTGCCCACATGGTTGTGATGAGCAGGTTGCCGCTGATGTGGTTGCTGCCTGTGGTTGTAAAATTGTTATGTGCACTGCTTTTGCAATTGCAACTTTGCTGATGAGGTTGCCGCTGATGTGGCTGCTGCTCATGTCGCCGTTGCTGCTCATGTGCTTGTCATGGTATTACTCTTCTTGCTGCTTACACTGGCCCTCGAAAAGTGGCGACCCTCACGGAGACGGCGCATCTCCTTTGGCCTTCGAAAAGTGGCGACGCACGCGAGGATGGCACCCCTCCTGGCGGGCTGGAAGGCTCTGCCAGCTCTGTGGGCCAGTCTTGGGCCAGCCGCACCGGCCTTCGAAAAGTGGCGACCCTCACAGGGATGGCGCCCTCTTGGTGGGCCCGAGGCCTCTGCCGGCTCTGCGGGCCAGCTGTGGGCTGGGCGCCCTGGCCTTCGAAAAGTGGCGACCCTCACAGGGACGGCATCCTTCCTGGTTGGCCGGGGACCTCTGCCAGCTCTGTGGGCCAGCTGTGGGTTGGGCGCCCCGGCCTTCGAAAAGTGGCGGCCCTCACGAGGATGGGGCGGGCTGGAGGCATCTGCCAACTCTGTGGGCCCGTCGTGGGCCAAGCGCCCTGTACTTTGATCAATACACATATTTGAGGTCGACGCTGGGGGTAATCATAAGGCAGGGGGCGGCGATGACTCGCCATAGGCGTCTTCAATCAATATGTGGATCTGGAAACACAAAACAGCATTTCAAAGAGCGGCACACGTTTGGGATGCGCAGATGCAGAACACAGGGCTCATGAGAAAGAGGGGTGCTGCCACAGGGAAAGACTAGACGAAGTGGGCTTGGAAAGCATGCTGTTCAAGACTGGACCTGTGTGCCCGCTCACGTTTTGTTCAGTCCCGATCCCCCTGCGAGGATGGATACACCCTCTGCTCCCAGACACGACAGTCAAAGTCAGGATTGTCCATAGTGCTGGACATCATGACTCTGGCGCCAAAGATTTATGCTTCAGGCCAGGTGTAATAAGACACGAGGGAACAAAGAACGCAGAACACAGCCCCCCGCTTGCCACGACCAATCTACGAGGAGGACGGCTAAGACACGATCCTTCTCACCGAAGGTCACGGCTTTTGTTCGTGACGCGGGCCCCCGAGGATCTCGACACCTTTCCCAAGGATGCCTTTTCATCCTGAGTTGTTTTGTTGACTATCCTGAAATCCGAAACAAACCTCTGGAGCTTGAAGTTGTAGCGGAAACTGCCGTCACGATTGCTTTCGCGACGCCAGATCTGAGGCAGGACCTCGCTGTACGTCTCATGCCGTCTCCTTGCTCAAGGGGTGGCCCACGACGGCTCGCGCGCAAGGGCGACCGCGCGCGCAGCACCGCGCGCGCAGCACTGCTCGAACGGCGGGCTGGAAGAACTGCATCGTAGCGCTCGCGAGATCATTCGCCCTCCTCCCTCCTTCCTCCTCCCCGTTCTGCTCCCCCCCTCCCCCCGCCTCCCGCCTCCCCCTCCACATCCCTTCTTCCACTCTCTCCTCTTCCCTCTTCCTCCCCGCTTCATCTTTGATCCCCCGTCTTCCCTCCTGAATTTTCTCAAGTCATCCATCCTTCCTTCTCCCTCCTCCTCCCTGTTGTTCTCTCTTCCTGCCTCCTCCCCCTCGTCGTCCATCGTCCAATTCCTGCCTCTTCCTTGCTCGTCGGTCATCTTCCAGCCTATCCTCTCCCTCTTTCCTCTTTCCTCCCTCCGCCCTCCCGCCCTATCCATCCTCCCTCTTGTCTCTCCTCCTTCCTGGACCA